GTTGACACGTTTGTTCAGATCGGAAAAACCTTCAGACTTTCTTGATTTCAGAAAACAAACATCCACCTGTGAACGCCTAATCACTAAGTCAGTGTTTTTCAACAGTGGGGTCGCGGCCCCACTTGGGGTCGCCTAGAATCAAAATGCCTAGTAATTTATTAAAGTTGTAGTGGTTCCACAGTTAAGTGGTAACCACGCCTTGTACGCAGAAGTACCCGGGTTTGAGCCCCTGAGGAACCACATATCTGATGGCACCTCCTGTTGGGCATCCTGTGAGCTGCAACCATGTATCTAAAGGCACTTCCTGTGAGAGCCTGTGAGTTTCCCCATTGTGGGACGAATAAAAAACTTCCATTGTAAAACCGAATCTGGCTGTTTTGTATTTGCAACACAGTATAACCAACATTATCAAAAACTAATTCTAGAAAAAAGAAAAATACTGCAAATTTTGGGGAGTATAACAAACATTATCAAAAACTAATTCTAGAAAAAAGAAAAAAAATCGCAAATTTTGGGGTCAGAAATAATTACCTATAAATAACAACAAGTCCATGTTTTGAGATACATTTTATATCATATATATATATTTTTTTAATTAAACATAATGAAATTTAATTAAAAGAAATTTGTAAGTTTGTGTATATTTTTTTTTCATTTTCAAAATTCATCAAGCGGACAGGTTTTGGCCCGTAAGCCATATGTTTGACACCACTGGTTTAGAAAATTGCTATTCAAATTATTTCTTGCAAATGTTTGTTTTTGTTCCCTTTGTTTTCATGCAAGTACGTAAAAAATATATTTGAAAATGTTTATTGAAATATAGTATTTATTTATATTAATATGTATATTAATATATATTTATATATATAAGTAAGAATATATATATATATAAATTCTTACTATATATATATATATACATACATATATACTGTATATATATATATAAATAAGAAAAGTTTGCATTTTTTTTCACATTCAAAATGTGTTAAGCGACCCGGACTGAATCGGTTTTGGCACACGGGCCGCATGTTTGGCACCCCTTCATAAATGTATATTTTATTTTGAATGATGTTCGAAACAACTGTAACTACAAAAATGAGGAATAAACCCGCGGTAAGAGGAGAACACGAATGAGACACTTGAATTTCCTGCCGTCATTAAATCCATCTCGTACTGGAGCCCTTCCTAGCTCATTTGGCGGAGCAGATGTTAATAGCTTAACAGGGCACAGTAGTGAGTGTTTAATTAGGTCTGAGGAAAAAAATGATTTATTTTACACATCTGGACTCATAAAACACCCTCTGGTCTGCGTCCTTCGTGACTCCTGGGCTGGATTTCCTCAAAAACCTGCAAACGTCCCAATAATGCCTTCCATAAAAGTGAAGCTTTCACGGCTGGACTACCAGGATGCCTCAAAGACACCGTCCACGTCCTGCGAGGGTGGTGTCA